ATTAGGTTTTTTTCTGTTTTTTCCTCATGATTTACTAAGGAATCACTTACGGGAGAATTTTACTGTCATTATTGCATGTCTTCTTCTTTTTTTGGCATCATAACCCTGGATGGGTCTTTGCCTGTCTGGCTATGTCCTTCCATTCAGATCTCTATTGTGCCCTTCTTCTCCATTGTCTTATGTTCATTGTTTGCAGGTCGTCTTCCACGTCATCCAACCATCTCGTTCTGGGCCTTCCTTTTTTTTCGCCTTCCTATGGGCTTCCATTGTAACATTTTCTTTGTTGTTTTTGCACCGCATTATTGCATGTGGTTGCCTTTTTAAAGACAGGTTCACATTATGATTTTTTATGACGGTTATTCTAAAGTTAAAGTTGATCTCATGTAATCGAATAAACTCTACTATCTTAAAGTAAAGTGGTCCCAGGAACGCAACTTAACAATATTGGCAATATCATTTTAAAGTCATCTAAAGGCTATTCCACGAATATACGATTGTTTTGGTTTACTGCGACAACGAATATTTTACTGTGCAAGTAGAAGTATGAAGGTCAATTGGTCTAATCATTATTCCAATAAAAAGGGTCTACTAGTGTGACATCCAAACTAAAATTATTTCAGTTAAAATCTGCAAATAAATACAATGACGTCTATGAAGCCAAATGTGTTCATCAGACATTTGGGTAAGCTTTCCGTGAAATGTAAACACCAAAGAGGCGTGCCGGGTTTCTTTGATATAACACATTTTATTACTTTATTAGGTATTATAACTGTAATAAAAAGAAATATACTATTTTTAATATAAATGAAAAGAAATTGGCAGAACGATGGTTCACAAACTAGAAAAAGAATCTAATATTTCACTTTGTTAGTTTTAAATATTTGTTTGCTTTAAGTGGATGTTCTCTTAAAAGTTCCGAAAGTAACGGGTATAACATACCGACTATTGATAGTTAAAGTACCGAGTCGTTACAGATATTAAAAAGTAACGTAAATTTATATACAGTTTCATATATCGCCGACTGATTATGGCTGCGAATCTGATCGTTGATGATAGTTTTAGAAGAATAAGAGAATAAGTGAATAAGTAAGATTTTTTGTTTTTTTTAATATTAATTGAATATTAGACTAAAAAATTTATACTATTTGATCACTTAAGTATTGTTACATTTCGATTAAATCACATAATTCAAAAACCAACTTGTTTACAATGAAATAATTGAAATGAAAAAATAAACTCCATGATAGTAATTATATACTTCAAAATCTGAATTACAACTGTTTTATAAACTATTAACTTCATATTTATATCATGACTTCATATTTAAATCTAAGGTTTATATCTGTCGTAACAGTATTTTAAAAATGGGGAGAATTTACTATTGTATAATACAATAATTATAATTATACAATTATACAATTCAGTACATTGGACCAATTGAATCGACACCTTAAAGCGAATTTAAAACAGTCGTAAGTAACAAAAAAAAATTTGTTAAATTTATTAATGCTTGTATTTTGAGAACGATTTTCGAAGTGAAAATCGAAACGTTAAAAATAAACTTATTTTAAACTTATATTGTGGCTTATTCCCGACGAAATTAGTAATTGCATTAAGATGCAACAAGACAATAGCTTCAGAACAATAATGGATCTGATATTTACTTACATTAGTTCTTCTAGAAATATATATTTTAGCTATAAAGTTATAAATATTGTAACTATATATCGCACCCTGAGATAACAAGTGTCGTATCTTTCAAAACCAAGTTTCGATATAATCGAATTTTAAAGATTGTCACGGTTCCAGTAATTTTAATATTGTATATAAGGTTACCATACATTTTTCAAATATTTATTGTAACAATTTTGTACCTCAAAAACAAATATTTTAAGTAAATGAATTACTTCTTCAGCAGTAAATAATTAAATAAAATTCTGCGATGGAACATATAACAGTTTAACATTGGAAAATGAATGCACCACAGTATAAAATTTTTTAATAATTATCAAAAATTGAACAAAAATTATGATACTTTGTAAATAAACAACAAAAACACATAACGTATCAAAGAGTATTTATATTGGATTGAACAAAACTTCCTCTTCTTCTTCTTCTTGTAGATCAATAGCAAAATTATTCTGCTTACCAGTGATTCATAGAAGTGTGCATGGGACTTAGGTAGATGATTTTCTTTATGCAACCACATTAAATCATCTTTTTTTTTTCAATCGAAATGCCAGGTGGGGTTGTGTACATTGGATCTAATGTTGAAGTACTCATTCTTTTTTTTTCCTCGGATAGTAACTGTCTTTATCTGTATTTTAAAAAATTCCTTCTGTTTCCATGAGGTTTTGTAAAATATTACATTTGGTTGATTTTTTCATCATTATCACATTTATTTTTAACCACTCTACATTGTCCTTCTCTGTGTTAGAGAAAAGTTAAATTCTCCAACTAATTTCTTATTATCGTGGCTGAATGGATCAAGTATCCAAAGCCATTAATTAAATAAAAAAAAACTAATTTCTTAAAATTATAGAAATTAGTGAAGTGTAATTCCTTCAAAACATAAAAGATCTGCAGTTGTTTTGGCTGCACTGACTACACCAGCAAATTGTGAAAGTGTGTAAATAGGTGACCAACTGTCAGATATTTGTGAGTTATGGTCTCCAGAGATTTACTGTTTGTAGAATGGCAAGAGATTTATTTTTATTTTGAGTTGAGCAGTTCTTCGAAAAAAATATTAAGTGTTTTACCTTTTTATCAACATGCTCCTGGATACAACTATAAACGCAACTTGTTTTCTCTATCGCTCCTTTTTTTCTACGATTCTCATCCCATATGTAACAGAATCTTGCTTTTGAAACTTTCTCAAAAATTGTAAAGTTGTAGGTATTGAAACGGCGTTTGTAGAAAAAGCTGGACACGTCACCTGATGGTAGTGGAATTATAGCCTGTAAATCATATTCATATACTTTAATTTCTTCTGCCAGTTTGGGGCGCTGTACATCCTCATATACTTTACGTTTTCTAGATGACGTTGATACACTACATCTCTATTCTTCTTTTCAAGTTCTGTACAATTAATATACTGATGGCAGGTTGCACACTGGTCCTTGCGAGGCAAGAAAAATCCAATATTAAACTGGGTGTTAAATATGTGTCTATATTTACACTCTTTCAAAATAGTATCTTTATGGTCATTCTGACATTTCTTCAGATGCAGACGATACATTTCAGCAAGTGTTAACTGTCCATCGATGTACTTTCTTCGCCTTTTAGCACGAAGATAGTGAGACTCCACTACTGGAAAGGAATCAATGTGCTGTCTAGCAGACTCTACAGTATCTGGAGGTAAAGTGCCATGGCTGTTAAGGTTTCCATGTTCATCATCATAAATAATGCCAGATTCATAAACTTTGTTTCATGCGATATAGACATACCTTTCACTGATCCCCAACGTATTAAGAAAAAAGGTTTTGCACATTTCTACATCATTATTGTTTATCGGCAGCACGTATTTTTAATTATTGCACCTAATCTCTTTGCTGTGGTGAGATGGAGGTTTCTTCGATGTCTTCTGAACCAGAAAAGTTTGCTGCATTCTCAAATCACCAAGGGTTCAGAACTTTCGATTAATTTCGTGACGTTGGTCATCATTAAATTTTGCCGAACACTTAAATCTACAGCGTTCTGTACATGTAGGTTTCACTTGACGCTGTTCAACAATTTTTTTCAACTTCTTTTCAATTTTTTTCAACTTTTTTTCGTGTGATATAAGCTTTACCTGAATTGCGATTATTTTTGGTAGTGTTGACTGCCCACTTGGATTCATTTCTTTTCCTTTTTCTAACTGTATGAACTGAAATTGAAAAAAGTTTCTTTATTAAGTAAATTTACTGAAAACAATAACAATTATAAATGAATATTCAAACGCCTTTCATCTTCATCTGATTTTTCACCACTGTCTTCTTCAGCTTTGGCTGTGTAACCATTCTCAATAGGACTAACTTTTATATTTTCAACATTTACATCTGTTACTAAATTTTCACAAGTCTTCAGGAATGATACCACATTGCCTTCGTCATTTATAGTGGCCTTCAAGACAGGTGTATCCTATACCAAAACAGAATGACAGAATGTATAATCAACCAAAGATATTTTTTGCCAAAACTTTGGATTTGGAAAAAATAATTTTTGAAACTTCTCACCTCTGTAATGATTTTTTCATTGAAAATACTGCTGTCGTTATCAAACTCTACAGTAACTGGATTATCATCTGCTCCAAGTAACGTCTTCTGTGAAATTAAAAACACAGTTACCATAAGCGGCCTTAAAATTTTCAGGAAATTGATAAATAAAATTCGTGCTATCTATTACGGTTCTATTTCCAACGCACAACAGTAATAAAAACATTTAATGTATTAAATAACGGACAGAATACAATTACGGGAACAAAATGTATTCTAATATAATAAATTAATAACTTACCGTTTTATCCTTACAACAACTTTGCTTCACAGACGGAAGATTATCATCTTTTTCTTGAACTAAGTTACTTTATTCACAAATCATTTGTGATAAACGCAACATCAGTTTACTACGATTGATGAAATCATTTCCACAACTATTACAACTCATTGTAAATAATTTTAATACCAGGCCGCTGTTAACTGTTAAACACAGACTAAGAACAACTAACTAAACTAAATTAAGGTTAGATAAAGCGATCTCATTACGCAGTAACTTCCAAATCCTAGAGTCAAACTGTGGTATTTTACATGCCACATTCGATTTCACTAGAAGTATGTAAGTGAATACTGTAGTTAGTTACATACGACGGATATTTCCTTAAATTAATTTAAGCTCTTTAAATTACATACGAATCAAACATAACCTGAAAATGGTTGTTTTGGAGCTTACAACAGTTGTCATCTCAGGGTGCGATATATTTACCTTATACTCGTATGTATTTGTATCATTTAAATGTGTTTTAGGCGTGATAGGTACTACAAAAATACTGTTACATTCCGGCATTGGTCCAAAAAAGCATTTGACTGATATTAACATAAAAACAAAGATAGATCTACCTGTAGGAGAAAATCTACAAGACCATGTTACCACCGGTTTTGATTTGATACTCTTCAACCAATCACTTGGTATAGGAATAGAATACATAATGTCGCCATTCTCTCTCTTTGAATATTTTTATAGTGGAACAGGACCATGGACTACTGCTGGTTGTGAAACACTGGCCTATTTTAGTACAAAAGAAACCAAAGAAGCCGTTCCCGATCTTCAGTTTATGATAATGAATGTAGGAGTAAATGAAGATAGAGGTTTATATCTCAGACACATGCTCGGTGTTTCTGATGACGTTTGGAACAAATATTTCGCAAAATTGAAATCTAATGTAACTGCTACAATATTACCCATACTCTTGCACCCAAAAAGTAGAGGTAATGTACGGTTAGAAAGCAACAGACCAAACAGTGCAGTAATTATTGATCCGAAATATCTTAGTCATGAATATGATATTGATATTCTAATAAAAGGTATAGAGATCGTAAGAAAACTTGTTGAAACACGAGAAATGAAAAAAATTGGTGCAAGTTTCAATAAAAACATATTTCCAGGCTGCTCACAATTCGATTTCGGGTCAAAAGAATATTGGAAGTGTTATGTTCAGCATTTGACAATAACTTCATACCATCCAGTGGGTACTTGCAAAATGGGCCACGAAGAAGAGGAAACAGCTGTTGTTAATTATGATTTTGAAGTAAAAGGAACCAATAACCTATTTGTAGTGGATGCTTCGGTAATGCCAACTTTAACAAGTGGGAATATCAATGGTGCCATATTTTTGTTGGCAGAAATGGCAAGTGATATTTTTAAATATAAAGATTTTTTGAATCAAGGAAGATGTACAATTTTAGAAATATTTATTAAAAGTTATGTTTGCAAAAATTATTATTAAATGTTATATATTATAAATTTAATATATTGTTTATGAAAATAATTTTGTAGTTTATTTCCCAAATATGTATTTAGCAGTTGTAACAAGTAGTTCTCTTAGACAATAAAATTCATTCAAGACTCAGTAAAACAAAACTTTAACTTAAAATAAAAATATGTTCAAAATAAATAAATAAAATTAAATTAACTTCTATGCAATATACACTGTAGGTATCTGCCAAAAATTAAAATACGGGCTATGCTAGAAAAATTTAAAAAGGACGATATATTGGTCGGTAATATATCCAGGAGAAAGAATAATCCCTATTTATTTTGGGTTAAAGTTGGCCGAATCGATCAATAATCGATCCGGACGAGGCACATTGTTTCGATTAGAACAAGCTAGCTGGACAGAATTAGTTTTTGCATTTTTTTTTTTGCTTCTAATGACTGTATTTAATATTGTTATAAGTAAACATTTTTTTTTTAATTTTTACAAGATAAAAATATTTTTATAGAGGAATTTAAATGTTTATGTTCTCATATTTAAAATTTGCATTTAAGGTTGTTAATTCTCAAGTGATCACTTGGGAAAGGCAATCAGCCGAAACAGCTGTAGTGATAAGTTAAAATAAATTTTGTGGAAGTTTGAAAACAAAGTTTTCATTGTTTTATTGTTACACAATAAAATTTTCTATATCTCCGGATCTACTCAATGCATTTTGTCGTTATTTTTTTAATTGGCATGTAATTTCTACGTACATTACAAATATGTAATTTGTTTATACATTAATTAATAAATAAATAGTCTAGTTTGTTGAAATAATTCGAGAAAAACATAATTTTCTTCCAAAAATCTATTTTTTAATACTAGTATCATTAATAATCATACAAAAAATTGCGTTTTTTTTGCATTAAATTTATACTTTCGTAGGTATTTCAAAAACCAACTAATTTTCGCAGTTAATTTGTTTAATAAAAATAAAGCACCCACTTTTGGAGAAGAACTTTTTGATATGTTGTTTATTAAACATTTCTTAATGGAATTTCGTAAGCAAAAACCGATGACGCTCTTAATAACAAAATTGCTTTTTTGTTGATATGGCCGAGTGGATTCTGGAATTCGAACAGAAGGAGTTTCAGATTCTTGAAAAATCAGGGCAAATGGAAACTTTGTAAGTAAAATATATTTTCAGCAGAGTTGGAGCATAAACATTTTATCGCTCTGCATAGACAGGATCATAAACAAAATTTCTGGAAGAAGAATTATAGACGTCTGTCATTTTCTCAAACTCTGCTAAGTTTTCCACACTGTGGACTATTTTCTTGTGACGTGAGCACAGTAGAACTGTTAAAAGAAACCAGAAAGGGATTGGAATCAACTTTTTTATTTTAAGGTAATATCTGCAAATCGACTGTGGAAGTTTCAACGGATGATCCACATTCGCAACAGACTCCAATCAATACCGCTGCTGTATCTGGAGTGATATTGGTTCGGTTGGGATATTCCAATTTAAAAGAATGGTGTTCGACCCTTAATATGTCAGTGATGTCAGAAAGCATCTACAAAAAAACAGAAGAGAAGCTCATGGACAGTTCTATAATACAGCCATGGAGTTGATATTAGCTGCTGGAAAAGAGGAAGAAAGTCTGGTACGAGAATGGGCTGAAGTTAATCCAGAAGACAACAAAGCTGTTATTAGTGAAATAGCTGATGGTGTATGGATAAGAAGATCAAATCAATCTGTATTTCCGGCCAATTCGGGTGTGACTTGTGTTATTGAAAAAAGAACTGGTAAGCTATTGTACTTAGGCGTAAAAAACAAGTATTGTTGTGTGTGTGTCAAAAAATCCTATTACTCCACACGTATGTTACAAAAATTATAACAGTACTTTGACTGCGATGGAAAATGCAATTGTTGTAGAAGGTTTCAAAGAGAGCATACAAATGCACAACTTATATATATATATATATATATATATATATATATATATATATATATATATATATATATATATATATATATATAGTCCCAAGATTCCTAAGAGGAACATAGGGCTTCCTCAAAGTGTCTCCAGCGAACTCTATTTCTGGCTAGTGCTTTGATTTCAAGCCAGGATTTTCCCATTTTATTGGGAAAAAATGGGGAAAAAAATGCACAACTTAAAATATAAATATTTTATTGCTGATAGCGACAGCAGTATATGTGAAGCCAAGCCGTACGGCAATACCTTTTTTTATAGAGAAAATCGAGTGCAAAAACCATTTATTACGCAATTTTGTCAATCGATTAAGAGAACAGTCTTAAAAAAACACAGTTCTGCTGAAAAAAAGCTATTCCTTTACTATTAAGGTCTCTTAATATTGTTCTGAAGCTATTTTCTTGTGGCATTGTAAATTAATTACTATTAAACTGGGAATAAGACACAATTAAAGATAAAAATACATTTATTGACGTTTCAATTTCCACTTCGGAAATCAAATCAAAAATTTCAATTTCCGAAGTGGAAATTGAAACGTCAATAAATGTATTAAGGTCTGTACTAAAAAGTAATATACAACGCCTACGAACGGCAATTGACTGTGTTGTCAAATATCACATGGAAAATAATTCCAGTGACAATCTAAAAATACTCGGTTTACAAGATATTGAAAACACTGCGTATCACGTGTTCAGCGATCACAAAAATTGTGCCGCTTATTTTTTGTAAAAAACAAAATTTGGACCAGGAAATTAATTACATTCCTGAAATGCAAGAGTGTGGTTTGTTGTCCGATATTATATCATTCAGCAATAGGCTCAAATATCATGCAACAAGTTTGATAAAAAGCGCCACCAATGACACACGAAACTTTCAATTCTGTTATAGCAAAATTTGTTGGAGGTACACGTGTAAATCACACCAAGAGAGGTGGCTATAGGTGTTTGGCGGCAGCATTCTCATATAATTCACGGGAAAATATTTATATTATATTATATTGCAAAATATAAGCAAAAGTCCAATTAGTTATTACTAGTTGGACTTTTGCTTGGAATAAAGTAATAATCAACCTGGTAAAGACTATGGCCTAAATGCAGAAGAGTTAGTTCAGTTGTCAGATGAGAAGCAAAAAAAACTGGAATTTTTAAAAAAATTACAAAAAAATATCTCAGAAAGAATAGAGATTTTTAATAATGCGACTTAAAATAGCAGTGCTGCATGGTTTATTGAACGTCAACAACGATTAACGTCCAGCAATATCTGAAAAATATGTAAATTGCGAGAAAAAACAGACAGAACTGAAACAGTGGAAGCAATATTGAATCCAACGTTTTGTGGAAATAGATTTACGGAATACGGAATTGCGAACGAACCTAAAGCAAAAAAGCGAAACAATTTTAAATATAAATATTGAACTATCAGGCCTTTTCATACATGATGAATATTCCTTTCTTGCAGCTAGTCCTGATGGTTTGATAGGTGACTGAAATCAAATGTCCATATAAAGCAAGATAACTTACGCCTGAAGAAGCTATTGAACAAAAAAAACTTCAATTTTGCCAACTAATTGAAGGTCAATTGCATTTGAAACGAACTGATTCCTATTACTATGAAGTGCAAGGACAGTTATTTATATCTAATAGAGAATATTGTTACTTTGCAACATGGACCTGAAAAGGTATTTTATTCGAAAAGATCTATAAAGATGTAAAACTATGGGAAAATATGCTACCAAAATTGCAAGATTTTTATTATAATTTTTATCTGAAACAGCTTCTAAAGAAGCGTTACACATAATTCTATTATGTGGATTTGATAGAAATTGAAATATGCGTGATTTCTCTTTAAAATATATCTATTATGTTTCACTTCCATATACTTTAGTATTTTCTTCTCTATTGCATCTTTAGGCCATAAATCTTTGCTGAAATTGGACATTTAATTTGGACAATAATATTACCCATGAGTCGATCAGGTGTTGCAGCTAAAAAGCGTTAAAAGCAATTTGTCAGGAAAAAAAGTATCAAAAAAAAACAAGAAAATATAAGACATAAAAAAACGAATTCAGCAATACTGTGACCTTGTAACCTCAAAATATCTTGTTATACTTTATTTTATAATAAAATTTTATAGAAGTTTGGCTTCGATTTGATTGTTATGATTTAGAGGACGATTATTTGTTACCTGTAGTGCCTTTGCAAAGTCGTGAATTAATTATTCAATAAATAATATTACTCTGGTATACTCGTATTATTCTAACCCCATAACCACACTGAATAGAAGACCGCCCTCTCGCTTTATTGTATAGACCCAAGACTTCTCACCACAGGGGGTGGGTGTCCCGGTAGTAAGTAGGTATAAAGCTTATAAAGCTTAACTCTAGTACAAGATGACTTTTAGAATATTCTTCGTGAATGGATTTTGTTTTCGTAAAGAAAGATATTTTTGAAATAGATTCCACTGAATTTACCTGTTAGGATTTTCGAGTATAAGCCTTAATCACTAGATTCTTCCTCAGAAGAATCATCGACTCTATAATCCTAGAGCAAATATGAGTAAAAGTTGTAACATTTGCACTTGCATTTACAGGTGGTATTATTAAATCTAAAAAACTTCAGAAGGGAGATTACCTGTCTTTTTTGGGAAACTCTCTAAGGCTGTTGATCAGAGGGTCAGATATGATCAATAACATATTGAGTAAATCTCTATTGATTGTAATACGTGATCGCTTTCTAGTATTGTGTGCTCTTAATCTTCTGCAACTTCTCTTGTACACATTAACAGGCATATAATACCATGGAGAGAGACTCAAATACAGCTTTCTAGTATCCTTTGCGAAATTTACAATTTTTCTATAATAGTATCATAACTAGAAGATAAAGCTCTAAGTAAAATGTCAAAATTTTTGTAAGGATCACATCTGAATCTGTAATCACAGCATTTAACTTGGAGTTCGCATAAAATCTGCGGGCAGTATTTCTGTCACTTGTGTTACCATACCCTGGCTTTGGTTTATCCACAATTAAGCCCATTTCAATTTTAAATCGAATCTGAAGGTTACGGAAACGTTCCTTTACATTAGCTTTGTCAGCCGTATCTCGCAGTTATTTACTTTTACTATTTTTTTTTACTTTAAGGCGATATGTAATATAAAGCAAGCATTCGAAACAAGGAATCCAGGCATGCAGTGTTTCTCTCCTTTTGGGTTGTGGTGACACCATCAGGCCTTTACAGCTTTTTTACGATTTCCCTGCATCCTTCCCTGTCCTGGGCTAGTTGTTCGGCTTCATGTAACCATGCATGCAGTGTAGATAAACAAAAACCAAGATTATCATTATTCGCTACAAATTTCCTAGACTCTTCAATCATCATTGTCGAAGTAGGTACACAAATATAGCACTTTTGTGACATAGAAGTTTCGGTCAAAGCGTTGCACACTTTACCGTCAATCATGGTACAAAGTAGTTCATGCTTAACAGATAGCTCATTACCATCTACATTGTCGTCAGCAGCAATTCATTTATTTCGTCCAACACTTTTTTGTTTGTCTCAGACACGGTAAAATTACTACTTTCCTTGGAGAAAATAAACTTAATTGGACCTCAATTCATAGTGGAAGATTCTGTCAGGCTTGCACTTGCATCACGTAAATGAAGCGGTAGGGGGAATGTACCAGAAACCGACCAAGCACTAGTTCCCGGCCGGTCTTTAAACAAATATTAAAAATTAAGAAAAATATAAAATGTTAAGAAAATCTTAGAACGTTTGGAAATTATTGCACCAGTCACGTATACTACGTGGCTTTAGGTGCGTAGGGAAATTTCGTTGACTTATTCAAAGCAAATTTAAAGAAAGTGGGAATTTTGGTATATTGGCAACACTGCCAATAAGTCAAAGTATGTGTGTTATTATGTGTTATTCTTGGGGTTAACCGATGTCATTAGATATATGAAGTCTTTGACTGCTTCTAAGTTTTGGTCATTGATGATTAAATCTGCGTCAACATTTCCAGCTCTTGTGTCATCAGTATTGGTGAATTTCTGTTTTTATGTGCTATGACCGGAACTTTCATGGCAACCCTACTTACTAACACAGACTACTAATTCTTTTAGCAATATACTGTGACCTTACTAATAAGGATAAATGATGTGACAGGAGATAAATTGTTGATAACTTCACGCTGTGCAGAAACTAAACATTTGACAGTTTTTTCTAAAATGGCCTAAAGTTTAATTTCTGCATCCGTCTCGTTAACAAGAATATGTTCATCACGAGGGTAACACTCATCCTTAGCTTTCCTAACACTATAAAATGATAGAAATGCCTGATCCCCGCTTTGGCTAGATAACCTGGAGTCCACATAATATTTCCAAGCTTCTTTCGTTAAGCACCTTTTTTTGTGCAGTCACTCGACTTATAATTTGTTTCATCTTTTTACATATTTCGGCACTTTCACTAGCATCCTTAATAAGTGTTGCTAATAACATAAACTCCAACTTCACCCATGATCACAATACACGATCTAGAGATGCTATTAGAGCACAACGTTTTAGGTTGACAAAGAGCATAAAAAATTCGAATGATGTTGGTTTGTATAAGTTTTTGGCAGATGAAGTAAAAAGCCTTCACTGTTATCATTTAAGCTTAAAATCAAATCATAATTTTAAAACATTGTTTCTATTCAAAAATAGAGTACCTAAGTACATCTTTTACACAATATTACTAGTTTGGTCAGGTTATTTTCCTATTATGACGATATTTCTTGATTTTTATTTTTATTTAGTGTGTTTGTCGTTTTTTAAATTGTTAGTAATAAGTATCTGTTTGTAATATTTAAATTCGAAAAAATTTTACTTAAATTTTATATGTATATATGTAATTGTCACTATCCCTTTTATATTCTATTATTTTTCTTCTTCAACCTGTAGCTTGTAACCATAGTAACATAACCACTGTGTTAAGGCTGCCGCTTTTAGAGGGTGATAGGAGGTCATTTCAATTCATAATATTGAAGATGGCACAATAAAAAAATATTAATTTCTGTGTATTTATTTCTTTATATTTCGTTTTTTTTTTCACGTTATTTATTACAAAGAACTCTAAATTTATTGCTTTTTTACAACCTATTCTATTAAAACTTAATAAATAAATTAGTTTTCTGTACAATTACCATGGACCCTAAATCTATAGATACATGTGTATTCGTCTTTTCCATAATTATTAAGTATATGTAGTTCAACAATTTCAAAAGCTTTGGTATCATTGCCGATGATTTGAAAAGTTTGATAGGGTCTCCCAGTGAGCTGGTATGTAAATGTTCCCAAAATTTCGGGCGTTTCTTCATTTTGATGGGCAAGACCCTAAAATAGAAAAAAAAAATAGTAAAATAATAGTAATATTGGAGCTGTCTTTTTAAATTTCGTTCCCATTATATATTTTATTTAATAATACAGAAAAAAGCACGCAGTTTGCCACTTTTGAGGTTAAGTTTAAATTAAAAGGTTTAAAATGATATTAAATTTAAGATTAATGTAAAAAGAAATAGAAAAATCGAATCAATTATGGTTTAACGACACCTAATAATATTATTCTTACAAATTCTACAAATTTAGAAGTTGGATAAAGAAAGAACTTCAAAAGATATTTATCGAAAAATGGAAGGTATTAAAAAAATTTATTAAAGTAAGTAGGAACCTGCAGTCTCTAGTCACTCTAGTGCAAGTACTGTAATCAGGTAAATAGTTCTCATTTTATAAAACCTGAGTCAGATACAATTAGCAATATGTTTAGTGATGCTCTGTGATACGGTTATATGTAACATATTTGTAAATACTATCAGAACGCAATAGCAGTTATTCAGTAAATTCAACATAGCTTCTCTTTCGCTGAATCTATGTTGACTCACGAGTTTCAATTAGTTGAAGATACGTGTTCTATATTCACAAAATTGTAAAAACACACAATTGTAAAATCCAGCTGCCTAAAATTGGGACTCAAATCGTCGTCTTGACCGGCTGGTGTACTCTATTCATTGAACTCATCAGTCTAGCGAATATAGTAATTAATTTTGTGCTGTAATGGTCAATTTTTCTTAACTAAGAGTCTAAAATATGTCAATTTTAGTTGAATATCCAATTTTCAGATCCATAATGTATAATAAAATAATAGTTTATTGTTATAGTATGGTATAGTTAGACCCAAACCCTGACATCCAAAGTAATAGTTATTCTCCAACACCAAAATGTTCTATATGGTCCACTCCCAATAGTTCAGTAAAAAGTTACACTATATCAAGCGTCAGGTTTGAAGGGGAGTGGGGGGAAAGGTCGGTAAATTACTTGTTTTTAAGATTTTCACAAATATTTTAAAAAACTATACAGTTTAGCGTGAAGAACGTTATATACAAAAATGTTCTACGTCAAATTTAAATCAAGAAAGCTTATATGCATAATTGTTCTAAAATCAACGAGTCCAAAGTTACGGAGAGTGTAAAAGTGAAGGTTTTCCATATTTTTTATATTTCTTGGGTAAATTATAATATTATTACTGAGGAAACTAATTTTTTAACAGGATTGTGTTTTGTAAATGTGATTTGCTATTTCAGTGAACAGTGGTTTGTTAGTGATAAGGGGTTGAAGGAACGTCAACCTCACCACCTTCTTAAGGGGCACTACTTTTTAAGGGACATGAGGCTTCTACATGGCTTGGCCATACAAATCTGTAGTACGGAGAAACCTACTCTGAACTTTTTATGGATAATGTCGTATGAATATCTTTCCAACAGTAAATTCATTCAACAGTTCAAGTAAACTTATTCATCAGTTTCAGTCCTCTTCAAATACAACAACCTCATCTACATCTTTGTCAATGATGGTTGCGTCCCTATTATCACATCCTAGGCATAAGTAATTGCTGCATATGCTTGAGCAGTTTAGACCACTCTTTCTATACTCACAGTTAGGGATGCATTCGTCTTTGCAAATACGCATCATGAGGAAGTAATTCTTCGGGAGCTGCTGTACATACTGTTCTAATTGGCGTCAGTTGTTCGTTAATCTTTTTTCAACCCCACTCGAGTAGATTCTTCTTCTCATTCAGCCACTGCTGTACCCGGTGGTAGCTTCTGAACGAATTCTGGCTGGAAGATCCTGAAGTGGGGAGTAGTGTAGCAGCTAACTTGATCAAAGAATGTATAGGCTGCTTTGCAATAGCCTTCTAGTAAGACCGATAGAGAAAACAATCTAGATCTTTCATGTTCCCGGCACCAAACTGGGGTCAGCTTTGGAGTCGTTAAAGACTACAAATTTTCTACCAGTTTCATTTTCTGGTTGCATGTTGTTGTTTTTCACTAGTTTTTGAAATGTCACATTTTCCACATTATATGGGAATAGTTCCGTACATTCAAAAGATTTTTTTATTGTTTTAATCCTAAGAGTAAAATCAAAGCATTATTTGCCTAATGAGGCAAAATCAGTGCGCTTAACTTCGGTATTGTTTTTTCTTTTGAAATCATAAACTGTTTTGTGCTATGAAACTTTGGTAGGTCGGAAGACAGCAACATTATGTTCTACATGTTGCATAGCACCAGTGCTACCAGTGAAAAAATCCATTTTCAGGACAAAACTCACTCAATGCCAGAGATATGTGGCTAACATGTCCATTTAAAAATAGCACGACCGGTTGCTAAGTTTTTTTTCGTTCAATCATTTATTAAAAGTTTGCGACATAAAACGTTTCTGTATTCCTCCATCTACTTTCATTGTATGCGATACCCCAACCTATTGGTATAGTTGAAACTAAATGTTTTGGTAGCCTTGTATAGAGAAACAAAACTATTGGTGGTGGAATAAGGTCAGACATTCTTTTTCGTTGTTAGCAGGTCTGTTATAGACAGTTTTAGACCCTCTTTTAACTACCAACTGTTCAGATTCTTTAGGTGTGAGTACCATATTCAGGTAATTTTTCTCTGCCTACATCTCTATAACATTTTCACCCACCTGTATCGGAAGATAGTGAAGGAATGGGATCAAAACACAGATTTCTTTGACAACCTTGCACTTGATTTTTCCAAAGATGCTAATTCTGCATACGATTTTAATATTGAATACAAAGAAATCTATTATTTCACCAAAATATTTTATTTAGATATTCTTGATACGCTAGTTCAACGTCGACTGTCTAAAGTTTTGGTTTTGTCCATCTCTTAAAATATCCAACGCGCTATAAATAAGGATAGATTTAGATATTAAAATTTATATAAAAACTTACATATACATGAAACTCTCTCGGTGCGCTGCTTCTATCTACATCTAGCCGAATGTGTTCCATGGTGACGGCCTTAATTTCAATTTTTCTGCCCAACTTTATTCGGACTCTTCCTTCTGTACCATCAAATGCGAAACAATTACCTGGTAAGGTAGTGGGTTGCAAAATACTTTTGGGATCAGACAGAAAGTTCATATTTATGAGAAATATGGTGGCATGTTCTACTAAATAAGGAGAAGTATTAGGAGTCGAAATCACTGATCCTCCTGCATATAAAGCAGCATAATCTAAAACATTGCGGTTAAATACTAAAAAGTTAAGAAATATATGAAATTATAAGTGAGTAACTGATAATAGTGTTTCTGTATGTTAACTACTTTAGTTGGCTACTGTCTACTATTACTGAAAACTATTATTAAGTTTCAATTTAAGATAATGTGAGTTTGTTAGTTTTGAGGTTAGTTGTCTAATCGATCAGAAATTTGATACATTAGTTGTTCGCGTACTTATTTGCAATTAATACGTTAACTTATCACGGTTACGTGACACCTCAAATAGCAGAAACTTATACTATTATGGTCATATAATAGTCGCGATACATATATTAAAGAACGCTTTAAATGCGGCGACTGATTCCTTATCTTTTACAACCGACCGTTTTATTAAGATAAGCGTTTTAGTTGGGAAACAGTTCGTTAGTAGAGCATACAGTGTTATTTGCCGTAATTTGATTATTTTGTGATGTAGCCGTTCGTTAGTAGAGTGTAGAGTGTTTTTGCTGCAATTTAATTAATTATTTTGTATGGTGATGTGACGTACTTCGAACAGAGTGGTTTAAAATGTTGTGTACTGTACTGAACTGATGAAAATCTGTTGGTTCAAGCAACTTCTAAGTTAACAGAAATTCTACTTTCAACTATATACAAAATAGTTGTGAATGAATAGAAAGCATTTAAATATCTACAATAGAAATATTAAGAAGGATATTAGAAAGAACTGGCTGGAACATTAACTGCTGTAAAAGAACTCTTCAACATGGGACCATTCATCAAATGACTTGACCCACGTGCGGCAGATTAAGAGTGCGGATGGAAGAGTGTTAAGAACCGATGTTGAAATAAAGCAAAGATGGTATAAACTTTGAAAAGTTGTTAAATGAAGAACACCAGAGGAGGGAGAGGATGCGGGTCCCAAATAAGAATGTAATACCGGAGATAGCGAGATATGAAGTTGTCGAGGCTTTAAATAGAATGAAGAATTTTAAAACAGTAGGACCTGATAGAATACCTGTGGAGATTTGGAAGGCTCTAGGAGATAAAGGGGTTGATAATTCGTGGAAGATGATGAGTAGCATATGTGACTGTAAGCTATAGTGGGATAAAGTTAGTGTCGCACACAATGAAAATTTAAGAGAGAACTGTAGAGCGAAGGTTAAAGAGAGGGACATCGATAGAAGAAGAACAGTTTGGCCAGGAAGGAGAACAAATGATGCCTTGCTTGCTTTGAGACAGTTTATAGAGAAGTACGGCAAAAAAAAGAAAAGAGAGCTACATTTGATATTTATAGATCTTGAGACGACGTACGATACAGTTCCTAGACAAGAGCTATGGAGGTGTATGATAGAAATGGGGTCCTGAGAAGTACGTAACGTTTTCTGCAAAGTTTTTCAGTGACACTTGGTTTGCATCAATGCTCTTCACTGAGTCCTTACCTGTTTAATCTTGTATTGGATTTACTGTCAGAGAAAGTAAGGGAGGAGCTTCATGGTAGATGCTCTTTGCTGATGATATCGTGTTAGTAGAGGAGAGTAAATAAATGTTGGAGGAAAAGTTGGAGTGTTAAGAAAGGGCTATAGAAGAGAGAACACTAGCAGGTCGAAAACGGGGTATGTATATGTATTTGGGAGGAAGAGAAATGGTTGGGGACATAGAATTATTTGGAAAATTATATGGGACACTAGATCGAGAAATTGTCGACAGGATACAGGCTGGTTGGTTTAACTGGAAGCGAATGAGCGGGGTACTTTGTGAACGAAAAATCGGGGAAGGGGTGAACGGAAAGATATACAAGTGTGGTTAGACTAGTGTTGGTGTAGTGAAGGAAGTCGGTGAAGTGTGGCCTATAAAGAAGACTCAGGAAAAGAAGATGGTGTAGCTTAAATAAAAACTATTACGGTGGATGTTGGGTAAGACTAGAAGAGACAGAATCAGTAATGACTTGATAAGAGAAAGAGCCAGGATGATGACGGTCTTAAAAAAGATTCAGGAACAAAGAGTGCAATGGCTTGGTCATGTTAGATGTAGAGATTAAAGCTATGTGGGACGAAGGATAGAGCTGTTAGAAGTTGATGGAAGGAGAAGTAGAGGAAAACCGTGGACAATTTGGAAGGACTGTATGGCACAGGACTTGAGTGAGAAAGATTTATGTGAAGAAGATCCGATGGACAGAAATGAGTGGTAAGAAACAGCGACCCCTGACAAGTTGAGGAAAAACTGAGGAGGAAGAAAAAGAAGTTATAGAAAGCCAAAGAATAGTCAACAGATGTAATATATACCTAGAACAAATTACTAAATATAGGCAAGAATAGAAGCACGATACAGTTAAGAAAGGATGGACGAATGGTTGGTTTTGATATGCAAATATGTGCATATCAAAAATGCCTGAAATTAAAGGATCCTGGCTAATTATTGTACATTGTGCAGAAAGTGGAGATGGGTTTCGAATGCTGTATAATTATGTGGGAAGAAAATAGAGGATTGTAACGTTGACTACTATAAGAGTATGGGAGGTGATATTTTTGGAGAGTGATCTGTAAACTCACTGATCCCTAACTTGGCAAATAGTATAATATTGCTTGACTATAGCTGAGAAAATACCAAATATATTTTCAAAGAAGCTGAATGCAAAGTTTTTGCTGGAATGCTGAATTGCTAATTTTAGTGGATCCCACTGATCTATAATTTTAATTATTGCATTATATCGGGACAAACACCTTATGCCAGCCAATTTATCAATTTTAAGGATTTTATCTAAAAGAGCAAAGCATTTTTGTGGGATCAATTGACGTGCTTTCGTCAATTAGGTATAATTGAGTACTTACTGCTACCTTCATCTGATATTAAATTGTTCAATAATTTTTTACCAAAATTCCTAAATGGTCTACGGTGGATAATGAAGAATGTTCACAAATGAAAGATGCTATTTTTAATTCGACCATATTCTCCCTTGGAGATACTCCTGGTAACAAAATCGATAATCTTTTCGCTTGGTCCGGCCAAATGACGTTTTTTTTTGCTTCCTGATGTTTATTTGATTTCATGTGTAGTAATCGATATTTTTAATGGGCAGCCAAACTAGTGTTACACATTTTATAGAAAGCTGTGGTAACATCTCCTGAACACTCCCAGAAATCCAAGCTAGTATTAAAAACGTCTATTGTTAAACCACTAAATTCTCTTAATTAATAATTTTAAATATATTTAATATAATTAAAAAACTGATACATAATCATTAGTTAAGTTAGTAGATAGAAATTTTAGATAGAATTGGTAAACACCTTTTAATAAAATAAATAGATAAGTTTTATCGTTTGAAACACTGTAGACATACATTACTAAGGTTTTAGCTATCTACCTCTCAGCTCTGAACCAGATTTCCAGGCCGATCCATATTTTCGGAAATGAGATTTTCGTTTTCGTTCAACATCGTGAAAAAATTTCACTTAATTTTCAACAAACGCGAAATAATTGTGGGCACTTTATAAGACAAAGAAAATTTTGGTTTAAAGTAAGTCAGTCACCATCACTTTAAGGGTTTTTTATAAACTAGCCTACAAAGGAATTACTTGATTACTTGAATGGAAATGGAATTTAATTTGTGAGAATCCCAAAATGTTTGAATCTTTTTAAAAAGATGCGCTGATTTTTAAATTTCAGTAGTCAAGTATAGAGAACAATAAACCAAAGTTATACTTAAGAAGGCTCTGAAATCATTCATAGGTTCTATCGTCATCAATTATGATTATGATTATGAGAGTAGAATATGCAATTCTATATACATTCCTTAAATTAAGCAAATTTAATTAACATTAAGAATCATAACCCCATAAAATCCTACCCAATGTTTTCGCTCAAAAAATCCCTCAACCATTTCAACTTATGAAAATTCCCATATACGCTTTCAAATTGCTACCAAATAACTCAATCTGCTAACTCTACCGATCACCATACGAAGCTTTGTTAAGAATAAGACTACGACTCGGCGACACTCGGAAATACTAAAGATGCTAGACTCTAGATTCTTTCTAGCTAGTAAATAGGACTATATTATATAGTTTTTCATTAAAATACTTACCATATAGTCCAATTTTGTCTGAATCGTAAACATCTAAGGCATCTGATATCTTTTTATCAATGATAAATTCATTTTCCAAGTAAGATGTTGAAAGCTGCCTTTCACATTTCTTTCTGCAACAAAATGGTTAACCATTTACAATGTATTCGTATACGTAAATATATATATATATATATATATATATATATATATAAATATATATATATATATATATATATATATATATATATATATATCAATATAAGGTTGAATGTTCAAATAAATGAACTTTGATGGTACACAAGGCAAATATCGAACACAGTATTTAATCAAATCTTGCCCAAGTACTTTCGATCACAAGGACCTTCGATGAGGATGATCTTGTGATCGAAAGTAATTGGTCAAGATTTGATTAAATACTGTGTTCGATATTTGCCTTGTGTACCATCAAAGTTTATATATATATATATATATATATATATATATATATATATATATATATATATATATATATATATATATATATATATAAAATATAACAACTTTCATAATAAAGTGGTGTTATCAAAGTAATTCTGCTTCAAAATGTGTAGATCAGTTGTTTTCAGTTGCTTTTGATTGCAGACCTGTACTCTGTAGGCAAACTGTTAAACATATAAAATAACTGAAAAGTGTTACTGCTTAATTTTGGAGAAATAATTTATCGAATTAAACGATTAAACCCATCTCTAACGTTGGCTGACTGTTAGTCAGGGACTTGGAAGGATGAAAATCCTCACACAAAGACTAAGACTATCGAGAAGAAAGATGGATATGGATGCTCAAAAATTGCTGGAAGTACTAGATGCTGCACCTTCGGGCAGTGGCAGTGTTCCTCAATTTGAAACATACTCATTTACCACAGGAGTGCTATCATTGACCTACTTAAGTGAGATCACAAAGAACTGTCTTAGGGTGGCGATTGAACATCTGGACACTCTCTGGGAGGTGGTGAGTTTGACAGTGGGAACTTCTGATGAGAACTATAATTATGATTTTTGTATCTAAGTCAAAATACATAGATTCACCGGTGATTAAAGCGTGCCTTCAGCATCGGAATCCGATGTTGAAGACATAGAACTGGTCCATGTTAAGAAGAAAACTAAAGAAGGGTGCAGCTCCTGACCTTCTCTATAGATGGAGAGTACTATAGGAATCTAAAGAAGAAAAACTACAAAGCTTCCTACGAACTTGGTAAGCTAACCTTCAGAAATTTGCAATTCAAGAAAGATAGGTCTAAGAGCAGTTCAGATTAATCTTTAACAATACAAGGCAGTCTCGGCAGTTCCTCTAGTGCTTGGGAGAATGTTTGATATTTCACTTATACAAGAGCCTTGGGTAAATTAAACTGGGTCTAAGATTTAGGGGTAACAATAGAGAACTGATCTACAGTTAATCTACTAAGGTCTCTCACACTTGTGTGATTCTCAGAGTCAAGATCGGAAAGAGAAGTGAACTGAGAGAGTTTATTCTGGGATTGGCCAATCTGCCTTCGAACGATCCAGCAGCGACACCGATCAATGAAGTGGAGGAGTTAGTGAGCCACTGCAGGAAAACAGAGATACAGCTGCTCATCGGATGCATCGTCAACGTACACCACAGGACCTGCAGAAGCACGAATAACAATAAAAGGGGTGGTATTAATGTAATTTATTATGCCAAATAATTAATTATTAAATGTAGGCAAAAACCCGACTTTCATAACTAAAAGTAGAAAGGAAGTAATAGCCTCCAATTTTCTGAGTAATTATATATTAGAGTGCGATGTGTCTGAAGAGGAGACCTTTTCAGACCATAAACCAATAAGATACACCTTCGAGAAGAAAGCAGCAAAAGTCTCTTATCAGAACCTATGTTCAACTAAATAGGGGGCTTATAAAGAAGTTCTAGACCAGCAACTGTCAAGGGTGAGAACGATTGATAACGCTACGGACTTAGAAATGTCAGTGGATGATCTAAATGAAGCCGTTATTAGAGCATTTAAAGAAACATGTTCTCTAACGGAGAGGAGTTCCACCAAAGGTATGTCATGGTGGAATAATGAACTGTCTGTGTTGAGAAAATGGACGAAAAAGCTATTCAACAAAGCTAAAGTAACCGAGAAGTGGCGAGAATATAGAATCACATGGGCAGAATACAGCAGCTATAAGAGAAGCCAAGAAAGACACTTGAAGGTAGCACTGCGAGGAAATAGAAAGTATGCTTTCAATTAATTTTTTTCACTTTTTGAATCACTTTGTTTATTCAAAAGGATGCAAAAAACAAAAGAAAAGTTGATTTTTACAATTTATTTAAAAAAATGTTTAAATATAATTGGGATCACTTTTAGCATGGAAGACTTTTTGAATATTATTCTGGAGTATCTCACGAATGTGATTGTGAAAAAATATTGCGAATATTTTGGGAAAAATATTGGGAATATTTTTTCGAACGTACCCGAGCTTTTCGATTTATCTAGACAAGAGAAAAAGTCTCATATTCTGAAGACCTCCAAAAGAGCAGGGACATATAAAAAGTTGCTGAGGATACTTTGTATAAAAAATCAAAGCTGAACACTTAAGAAACTTAAAAACGAAATATCCCAAATGCCTGCGCTAATTTCTTATACAAAGGGAAGAATTGTTATTGATTGTTTTTCAAGTATTATTCGGCTAGTTTTGACAATTCTATTTTCAAACACATAGCACAGTGTACTGAACTTAGAGCATGGCAACAGTTACAAACTGAAGACTTAAAGATTTCTCTTATGCTGGTAGAATTTTGGAACAGAAATACTTTGTTTAAATTACCTATGTTCAACCAAGTGCCAATTTTTTTCCGTTAGGTACATTTTTAGAAAAAATTAAGATTTATAGAAAACATTATTAAATCTAATATTTTTATATACTTTAGTAGGCAAAGTATTTATTTTTATTCCTTCTAGCTATTTAAATCTGCCTAATACAAAACTTTATGCCTTTAAACCAGCATTCAGTAGCTATTATGTAAAAATAAAAGATCAGTCTATCTATTTAGGAATTTTTAACTCCCGTTTTGCCTACATTTTTCTTCTACTTATTAATTTAGTAACCCTTAAAAAAAGTCAGCTCGCCAAAAAATCTGAATACTAATACGAGCTCGTTTAATATATATTTTAAAATTAATTTTTTTCTCGTGGTTTTTTGTGTAAGCCAGAACCTTTATGTCTACCCCTAATATAATTATGGTTGGCTTCAAATATTAGCCTGTAGACAACATTCTTAACATTATTCAAAACGAAACCGAGGAGCCCACTAAATTATCTAGAAATAATAAAAACAGTACGGTACGCTGACATGTTATTAAAACGGAGACACAAAAACTTGTCTTATATAGAGGTAAAACTTGATTAAATTTTGTTTGTTTTTACTCTAATATTAATAAGTACGAAGATTTGTATTATGTGGGAAGAAGAAACTATACCAGGCAGTGGTGGGGTAGGGTAAGTCCGGGAGAGATGGCTCACATATTTTGACTGTCTGTATCTTAGCACAAAAAAGTCTACGTCTAAAAAATATTTATATATTTATATTAAAATACCATTAGAAGAAAGTGTGCAGAGTTGGTTAAGCCAAATACTTACATACAAAAACAGTAAACATCAAAATACAAAAAATTGTAAAAGGCCAACTCACCCGATGTGTCAGGGTGAGATGACTCGGACACTAAGGGTGATATGGCTCGACCATAAACTTTATTTGGCACGTTTTTTTTCCAATACTTTTTCACATATATCACATAAATTAACATATTTTGAGCAGTTTTCATGAAACCAATAATTGCAATGCACGCACTGTACCCAGTTTTCTTGTTTCGATGTGATTGAATATATTTTCCCACAGCCGGCATATTCACAATTTGTTTCATCTTGTAGATCCTTACTAGAGTCTTTAGTAATTTTCATATATGATCGTCAGAGTCTTCGGAAGAAGATGACTCAAAAACTGACTTTTTTCTAGAGGCCATTTATTCTTTTTAGCATCCTTTTCTTTCTTTTTAACATCTAAATCTTTGGGTTTCGCTAAATTCACTGAGCTAGTAAGTACTGCAGCCAATTGTCTACCGCGTTTCCTTACTTGTGAAATACCTTATGTAGAAGGTACTGGAGAGATATTATCTAAAATTTTACCAGGATTGATTTTTTCTTTACAGGTCGGCCTATTACCAGTTATAGATGGTAGTTCTAATGGTGACGTGTGAGATGGAGACGTGTGAGACGGCGTCGAACTACTTGTAGATGGTAGGTTTAGACGTTGGCGATCATCTATTTCAGTAATTTGTGTTGTTGAACTCTCAACGTACTCTGGAATTATATTCCGGTCGACCGGATAAATACCACATGCGCGAAAACCAGATACGACATTTTGTACTGAGGCAGCTTTTGTCCAAGTCTCATTTAATAATTTGCTGAACTACAAGCGATTAATCTTCTTTGTAGAATTCATTTTAACAAATGAATTGCAAGCATTGTAATAATGTGACTTCAGCGACTTCAAAAATGAACGATCTAATGGTTGCAAAAACTGTGTAGTGTGGCTAGGTAAACACAGTAAAATGATCTCATTTTCGTCTGCAAGGACTTTTCCTGGGGCTCTCTAGGAACAACGTGATGTGTTATCCAATCAATAAATAAATCTGTGTTTATGTAAGCGGACTTTTCTTTCATGTCTACCTTTGATCTTAGGGGCATGCCGTCTTCGAATTCTTGCTTTTTATTTTTGCCTTAGAATATGCAGGTCGGGGAAGAAAGTTACCATCAGCATTGCAACAGGTGATACATGTAATTGTTTCTCCTTCTCCGAAGAAGTAACTGATGCTACATTTTTAGATGCCTTTTGGGCTACAACAAATGCAGGTTTATTATTCAGTTGGAGTCCTATTTCGTTCATGTTAAATAAACTCCCGAGCTTCTCCATCAACTCATTTTCTAGAATAACTTGCTCTAACAGATCAAAGTAATCGCTTACATCCTTTTTGTTCATGCCTCGACTTCTTGCTAAGGATACGCCTTCCGATTTTCTTATACTCAAGTCAGGGTTTCTTCTTAAGAATGATTGTAACCAATCAAAACCTGCAA